AGCAATTACTGAAATTATTTTGGTTATGGCTTCTTAACTTACTTCAATATATTATTGATCCTAAGTTCTTGGATTTCTTGTCTAGGGGATCCCATTCCTACCTGTTGGATGAAGCTTAACTAGATATGTGCTGATTATAATTATACCAGGGTTCCTCAACCTTGGCAGCTTTGAGAAGTCCACCCGTTTTAAAGTTGCCAAGGTTGAGGAACCCTGAATTATACAACCTATGCTACTTTGCCACCACTAGAGAAATTTAATATTTTCTAGGGCAGCTTGTATAAGACTCAGCACTAATAACATTTTAATTCAATAAAATAAATATGTATATAATGACAAACACACCATTACCTTATTTTTCGTGTTACATAAAGAATAAGTGCTCATTAGAATTCACTCACATGCAAATGAATGAAATGCTTGTTGATATTTATAACTCTAGCATGCTTTGTTTTTTTAATACACTAGAGGTTTGAAGACTGTGCGCTTACTGAGTATAAATGGGAATTGATCTGTCTTTGACTAAAACAGCAGAGAAAATTTATTTTGGTACTTTGCAATATTCTATGTAGCAAATTCAGGTATCAGTTACTAAGTTAGCCAAAATGCAATCAGACATCACAACTGCTTGAATAAACATAACCAAACTGTAGTGCTAGAAAATTGAATAGAATATGAAGTGGTTTAAGAATGTATTTTCACAGAAGAAAATAGCTATGTAAGAAAAAGTTCTGTAAAGGAGAATTAAAAAGGGCAGAAATATTAATTGCAGTACATGGATATAATAAATTTAAAAAGCTTTAAAAGATAAAAGGAACTTTGGTTTTTCAGGCTACTTGTAAACACAGAGTTAGTGCTCTTTCATAAGAGTGCTAAACTTGTGTTTAAAAATAAATCTAAAAAGAGCTGATATCGAGAGGCAGTTGCAGGTGAAGTGGGGAGTTTCTTCCCACGTCACCTTGCTAGTGCTGTCCCCTGTGTCTGTCAGCTGTTTTTAGAGCAGTAAGTCATATCTAAAAGTCATCCAAAAATGGGCTTGATGCTGTTGAGTTGGCTGTGTGGTGAGGCAGGATCTCACTGTGCTTCCCTTCCTGCACAGTGCCTGCCAGCTCTTTTTTAGGCCAGTTCACACTTGCTGGGAGCCAACTCTTCACTCACAAGGTCTCTTATCTCTTAAGATCCATGCATGGATCAGAGACCTGTAAATAGTTGTCCCTCGTGTTTCTTTTGCCACACTATCCCCAAGTCGGCAGGAGAAATGGGAAGAGATGGCTGTACTTGCCAGGCCTCCAATCCCTTCCCTCCAATCTGGTCTGTTGGTGCCCTGGTGGGAAAAAGTTGATTTTCTCTCCATACTCCTATTGCTACCCTTTTGAGCTCTGGCAGGCTAGACAGCTGCTGACTGGAGATGGGGCTCTATCTCCCGGGTCTCCCGTCCCATGGAGTAGCTCCATGAAGATGGAGACCTGATGAGACCAGGGGAGACCCTGGTGAGAAGAACTGGACTTCAGACAAAATTAGAATAGTCTTAGAAAACAGTGTCCAGAGATTAGAGGTGAGAGGGTGCGCTCATAGCAGTTTGAAATGAGCAACAGAGCTGGGCAGTTCCAGCCCTTGAACTGATTATCAACCACATCATTGTTGAAGTATCCTAGATCCATGGCTAAAATTGTGTAGGGAGAAGAGAAAACATTATTTTTCAACTGGAACAGCTGAAGGCAACATTAAGCTGCCTTCATGGTAGGCTAGGGATGAAAGAAATAAAATGTGACGATACATCCTTTAAAAATGTCTAGGGGGGCATCTTCATGCCACAGTTAGGAAACATGAGGATGAATTACTAGTAATGAGACTAAGGTTAATTTGTTTCCACCACAAAACTGAACATCAGGACAAGTTGTTAGTAATGGGATTAAAGTAATTTGTGTTTCCACCCCAAAACTGAAAACAAAAATCAGTCCTCTTGTGTTCACATTCTCAACATTTCCTATAGACATCTAGTTGACCGCTGTGAGAACCTGCTATACTAGATTCAGCTTGGCTGTTACATTATTAAATTCTCCTTAGTAACACCCAACATAAAATTTAATTCCACAGAGATCTACCAGTCCAAATCTAGCATCTAATTAGTTGTGGGAGCTTTACATTTTGTCAGCATGCAGATTATTTTTTCTCTCTCATACACACACAATATTTTTGACACGAATAAGATTTATGTTAATGGTGAAGGTCAGATCTCTGTTGCTATATTTTGACCAGGTGAATATACAGTGACAAGTATGCTTAAAGGTGCTTTTGGATGAGATTTTATTATGAAATTATCCTGCCTCATTCACAAAATTGTAAAGGTGGTTGCAATCTTTTGGTGCATTTCCACCATGACTGCTGCTTTTCTTATGAGAAAAAGTCAAGGTGAGAAAGAATAGTTGCAGAATGTGTTTTGTAGTCCTTGTTTTGTCCATAAGTTCTATAGACAACTTTTTCTGCTGCCCCAAACCAGAACTTAAGCACTAGGTTAGTACAGCCATTGACCTGTTCATTATATGGAGCTGAGTCAGTGGTTTATACGTTTTCTAGATGGATGGCCCCATCTCATCTTTGAGGAATATGCTGAAAGTCATAACTCCAAAAGTGGGTGATACAAGATGAAAAAAAAAATCATTTCATTTAAAGTTAAAATTAATGATTCATTAAATACAGTTGATGTGATTATTCCCAAGCCAGTCATTTAATAATTTCCCCCAGCTGCTACACTGAACATTATAATTTGGTGACAACCTTTGCACTTATGGGTTTGAGAGCCACATATGGACCTGTCCCTCAGTTGTATGTGTATGCCATTATTGGTAAGTTTGATTTTGGCATAAAGCAAATTTGTAGAACATGCCAAACCACTTACATCATATTCCCTAACCATGATCTGTGGCTCTTCTAAGATGAAGCAGATTATTTGCTAGAGTGACTGCCAGACAACATGCTAAGCCTTAGAAAAACCAGTCTATGATTGAGATTTTAGGGGCAGGAGGCAAATATGGCAGCAAGTATGTGTTTTTATTAACTATCCAAGGAGACTTAATGTGGCATTAAGCCAAGTCTTAGAGTATTGTGTGAACTCAGCCATTATGGCTTATTCAATAAATCATGAGTAAAATGAAAGGTGTTCCAAGCAGTATGTTCTACATATCTCCTTTTGAGCTGAGGTATTGAAACTTTTCAGACTCTGGATCCATTAGTGCAAATAAGCATTTGGGGACTTAGTTCTTCATTGTCTTATAGATAATATGCTGTTGTTGCAATTTATAACTAAGTTTGCCAATTGCTCAGATCTCATGTGGTCTGCTTGGTTTTGGTTTAGGTACTATGGCTTGTAAACCAGTTTATGGCTTAACATGAGTAAAGCAAGTCGTACTCTCATCCTGTCCTGTCCTGCAGGATGAAAATCAACTGAGATAGGGGAAGAATCATGTACTGTGTCTTGAGCTTATTGGGGAAAGATTGGATGGAAATATAATTACAGTAGAACCTATTCCCACAGGCACTGGGGCCAGGGTGCTCAGATAAGAGTGCAGGTCTATTTGTTTTATCGTAGTGAGATTTTTGCTAGCTATTGCTGGTGGGTTTCTTTCTTCTTTTTTTGGTGCCATTTTTTAATGATACAGGTTATGATGGTTTTATTTATTTGTTAAATTTATAAAACTGCCCATCCCACATACATGA